TGTGCTTGATGATTTGTACAAGTTAACTTTATCCTGGATCAAAAATAAATATTTCTGTGGTAGATACATTAAGGAAATAAGCATAATTCCAAACAGCTAATCTAAAATGGCAAAACAAAAAAAGCATACCTCTGGAAATTAACAATATGAATTACATCCATATATGCATAGGGCAATGTATACACAACAAATAATTAAGCTGATAAACTGCTCCTCACTAATCTTAAGAACAGAGAAGTTTCTTCAAATGAATAAATACTTTTTGAATAACTTGATCCACTCATAATAATCCTCACATCAAAACTTTAAACAACCATGGCGATTGGTGCGTAGATAGACGCGTGTTTGGAATGATTGCACTGAGGTGGAAACCAATGTTTCAGACACCATTCGATTAAATAAGCCAGCAACATGTAAGCAACTGTCAAGATAGCTAAGATAGTGAGAAATTTGATTATATATGCCGGGAAAAGCGCATTTCGTATAACTTGATCGCATAATGGAACCTAGATTACAATAAATTTAGGTGCAAAGAAATAACAAACAAGAAACTGAACTGTTACTTATAATTTATTATTTCTGTATGGATATTCAACAAAGCCACCTTTTATGTGACGGAGAAAAAGGAGTTTCTAGCAATAGAGATATCAAAGAATAAACTTCAGTACAGAGTAAATTAATGTTGTTCACCTCTTTGACAGGTATAAACGAGCAGTGAAGCGCGGCACTCAACTGCTTCGAGTATTGTATTAATTGAATTTCACGAATCACGATGGGTAACTGTTCAAAGATGCTGTTCAACAGTATCAGTCTAGCAACCAGGAAAAATGGTAAAGTACCAAAAGTCAGAAAATCGATTCCTCGTATCTGAAATTGGAAATGATCACGGTCAGTATAGATCTAAAAAAAGAAAAGTTGTTCCATCGAAAACGGAATTCTTTTCAATTACTGAACCATTTCTATCCATGAAATGACATTTACAAAAACTCTTTGTGGAAGAAGTTGAAGAAGAGTTTTACATAAGAAATTTTAATTGCAAGAAAGTATAACTAAGAAATAAGAAAAAAAATACAACAATGTCATAAGCAATCTTTCTCGACGAAGTATTCGGCATAAGGATGAAGCATGAAGTGGACAGCGCAACACACATACTACTCACAATTATCCACATGTTTTCGTTATACTGAAAAAAAGTACTGATAAGAAAAGGCAAGCAAATAGAGGAAAAGCGCTAATAATTAAATTAGTGGGTAAATTTTTCATTATCCGACTTATAAGTCCGTGATGTCACAAGAAATCACAACATTCAAATTCTCAACTTTCATAGCTTTAATTCATTCGAATTAAACTGCTCGCACACCTTAATTTCATGGTATGTTTAAGTTTTAGCATATTGCCGTTCATATAATAGAAGGTAATTTTCGATAATTTTAATCAAATTTGGTTTTGGACAAATTTTAAACAACACAAGTTACTCACATCGGTAAGAGTCTCAACAAAATGTCGGAAATGAAACGACTCAGTGTTAGGAGTCACATCAGTCACATCAATATTGGAAGCCACAGCAGCAAAAATACTCAGGAATGGTACCATGTATATAACATGGATAACAGCAAATATAAACAACGTTATCAGTTTCACGTATTGAGCATATGCGGTCTGAAAGTTACTGAATGTTTTGAATATACAAATCCGTCATAGTATATGATCCATGCACGGCATATTATTACATTAAATAAGCTGATGCTATGTGCTTAAACCTCAATACCTTTTCAGGTAATCAGATTCCCTGTTCAGCTATTTTCCGTAATCTTAAATGTGGAAACATATACTGACAACAAAGCGACATCAAAACTATCAAAGATTTAGACAAACCTGACTTTGCAAAAGTAAGCGGAAAAGGGACTCTGTAGATTGCTGTGCATCTATGTAACATGTGGAAGTAGAATGTCCATTGTCACAAAATTTCAAATCCTTATCGTCATTTTTCAAAGGACGAAATGATTTATAGTAATGAGGTGAGAGGGCAGATATTGATGGCATCGATCTCCCTAAACACAACGGAAAAAAGAACGAATCCTGAAATTAATAAACAATCGTTACTATTGATAAAATTAAGCAACAAAGTCTATGAAAAGTTGTCATACGGCGGTATTTGATCCTTGCCTTGCTATATTGCATACATGCATTATGCATTTCCTCACAAGATAAATAAATAGAGGTGTGCTAGACAGCTGACCAATGATTAACGACATTCTGCTTCAATTGAAGTCCATCATTTGCAAACATTTGTAAAAAGGGAAACTTTTTGAGAGGAGAAAGGAGACAGTAAAGAATTCAGAACAGGCAAAACAGAAAGAAAACATCGAAATATTCTTCAGAGTGACTATTCGCTATTGTGAACAGACAGTGATATTGGGAGTAGTGTTGGAGGGAAGATGAGTAAACCAGTACAGATACAAGTAACAAGGAACGGTAGTACGACAGGAAAGAATAAAACGTGGCGGAACACAACGGACTAGAGAATGGAACGGAACAACGTAAAGAGGGTGCTTGATTGATTCATTGATTTGTTAACGAACGTGAACTCAATTCGACGACTGACACTTGTGAGATGCGTGACATGGGAAGGTGACGTCGATGCAGGTGACAGGTGCCCCCACACTAAGTGACGGACACGCGTCCCGAATAGTGGGACAAGGGGGAATAAAGGTGAGCTTAAACATGGCTAACGAAGTTCTGCTTGTTCTCTGCGAACAGGGTCAGTAACTGCTAATTTCGTTGCACACATACACAGCATATGCAAAGACATGTATGCACACGAACATAGAGAGAGACAGATACAGAGCACGGCAGCACATTATTGGTGGATTCCCGGGATTTGGGGTAGTAGATATGAGCAAGCCATCATCTGTCCCCAGAAAACTGTCTCCCTGAGCCAATAACTGTGACAGTCATGTGGTACTCCATGGTACTATGACAGTCATGTGCAGGAACAAGAGAAACTAAATGGTAAGAATCAATGCCATATTTCTTGACTGTATTAGGAGTGAGTGGACTAATAATGGTCATAGTGATGTACATAAAATCACTATTGTCCTTTGCTTTATTGGATCACAGCAGCGTTTTTTTCCAATTAAAAATCTCATATTTTCTAATTAAAAATTGCTTCTAGCGGAATAAAGAAGAAAATGGATGAAGGAATGAGGAAAAGATTTTCAATAAGAGTAGTGAAGGCTGTGAAGAAAGTATGGAAAGAAGAAGATATTATAGCGATGTGATGACCTCCTTGTCTGCAAATTATATTTCCTCTTATATGAATAAAATTAGCCAGCATTTTTCAAAAAGGCCGTAAAGAGATGACGTTTAGAGGGTATAAGTATTAGGGTTGCATTTCAAGTGATAAGAAGAGATAAGAAAAGATAATGGTGTGTGGAATGGTTTAGAGGAAGTGCCTGTTGCACTACTTTTCAGTGCAGCGATGGAGAGCTTTCTATCCGTACCACGTGCTGTTGTCAACTGGAACACAACTCATTGTGTGTCTGTCTGTGACTCCAATGAAACCACCTCTTGCTTCAGTCAACAACAAGGTTAACGATAACAGCCAATGATCAGATTCAAGGAACGAGCATCGATACATGATGACGTGAATGTACTATGTTAGATTGCCATACGTCATCGAGAAACAACAAATATAACGTAGTCCAATAAAACTAGAACTCATTTGCGTCATTGGTTATTCGTTATTTACTATTTCTTTGTGTTAGCAAGGAAAATATGCTAAAACATCTGCACTGTGCAATAAGTGAAGTGAAGGATGTGATGAGATATAGTGTCAACTTTCTAGACAACCAATTTTGTCAACTTTTTATGGTAACGACAACACTAAAGTCTACAGCACAAGGAAGTAATTTCATCCACTCTTCCTGTAATTCAGTGAATCAATTAATTTATCATTATAAATGACTGAATAATCCATAAATGGAGCCACTGAGCATTATCCATCATCGCATTTAAAACCTGAAATGAATTGCCTTCTCTATTGTTCAAATACGATTGTAGTTAGTGTAAGTCATTCTGGATGACATGCTTAATGACCTAACCAGACAAAGGATATGTACTCGTAACAATCGCAACTTGTTGAAGAGAAGTGTACAGATCAGATCAGTATTAGCACGACTCCGAACATAAACAATGGAAAGTTCAGTGTGACATGACTTGCTCGTGTCTGCCATACGTTCATTTATGTTATCGTTTAAGTGAACTGACTGTTGACTGTCACGACCTCTTCTCACCCAGTGCTCTCTCTACTGCTAGTAGCATCTCATAATTGGTCATGTGTGTATGAGTGTGTGTGTATTGTATTTCCAAACAACTATTCGTAACAGTCGGTGGTATCCCAACTTTCGCTCATATGATACGTTCAAAGGGATCAAATGGCTAGCAACACTTCTCTTTTTCATAAAATTCTAAGTATCAGACATCTTACGATATTACCGAGATGATATTACTACTATTATCACCATTACTATCATTATTACTAGTACCATTATTACCACCATCACCATCGTTATCACTAGTACCATCATCACTCGCAATTACCTCTTCAGTTCACTAATACTATTACCCATCATCTATTTATTCATGGTTTTTCACTCTATTCCATATCCTAAAAGCATGACAGAAACAGTAGTAAGATGAACATCTTGAATTTTTGCTCAACATTTTCCCATCTTGTAAGAATAGCCGAGGAAAAAAATGTCAGTACCCATTCTAACATCGATATAAATCAAATCAATATTAGCTTCATAGTATAATTCCCTAGTCCACGCTATCATTTTAAAAGAAATGAAATTTTACAGTTTCATTTAAATAACAGACTGAATGTTCCCAACAACTTCTGCTACATTTACAAAAATAACACATCCAAGTAAGATAGGTTAAACGATCGGAGCTCTTCCAACTGACTGCTCATCTCCACATCTTCCCATCACAAAGTTATGCCACCATCAAATGTTAGACCTATAGCAAATGAAACTAAGCAACAAACGTCTCCTACGTGGCTTATTGATATATGTCTAGAACGAGTCCTTGAGACAAATCTTCGACAAACGTCCAACGACGTGCTACCTCGTCTCCACGACGATAAAAGCACCCATTTGCTTGATGCTTCATATGAGATTAGACAACCGCTCAATTTCCTTCCTTCACATAACCGAAAAACTACAAATACGCACTTCACGACATACCACTGTTTGTGTTTCATACATATACATGAATTATAAATGTAGTATTTTGATAAGTACCGAAAGAAAATATAGAAAGTAACAATTATCAAGCAGCGCGCACTTATAGTTTTTCCAAACGCACTCATCTCACCGATACATTGTTAGCGTTGCCAATGAAGAAAGTTCCCATGAAGAGGCAAAAACACTATTTAAATGTATTGTTATCTTACTGAATTGTAAAACATGAAACAAACATAGAAAACTTCCTTACAAGAAAATCTTGATGGCTTAAAAGTAACTTATTAAATCACATTCAAAATATTCAGTTCTTTTCGGCCAAATTAACCTAACCAAGCAATTAAAAAATTCAGCAAAAAAGATAATTGCAGAAAGAATTAAGATCACTGATGGAGATACTTATCGAGCCAACGAACGATGTTGATTGCGCAATCTGCCTCTATATCGACTTCTTCCAAAGGATGGCAAGCTTCCGGATACGACAGAATTCTGAATTCCCACAGTAAATGGAAGTGTTTTAACTATACTTTAAAGATTAAATATTACAATTTCTTTCTTAGAAAAAATACCGGCACAAAAAACTTAATAAAAATCAAGCATACGTCTTAACTTTATTCCTCTTGAAGACTAAAGGATAAAACATCGAAAATTCTATAAAAGAAGAAACTCATTTTTCAAATATTAAACAACTCACTTATTAGGAATTTTGCGCGCATTTAGATTACGAATGAAAGGTCGATAATGATTTACAACACGTAAATCTTTCTCGCCATTCAAAAGCAGGTATGGTGTGACAACCTAAACCATTAATTCCTAAATAATAGCACTTTTCCTTCCGATAAAAAAAAAAAATTCTACAAAAATTTCGTAAAAGGAATTATCAGTATTATCCATATAGTATTATCTTATTGATATAGGACTGGGCAACAATTCAGCTTGACTAGAGATGTTCCAGATACTTTTATTTTACTGGTCCCCCCTTATCAACAGTTTTTTATTTCGACTATTCATTAAGCGACTATAAAAAGTGCTACATTATTATCCACAGAATCTTCATAAAAAGAAGATGAAAAAAATTAAAAACCTTTTCAACATGAACAATGGGTGAACTCCTATACATTTTCTCCCGATCTTTTGCTGTCAACATTTTCCGCCAATCAACTGTCTTCCAACCGAGAGCCTCCACTACTGACCTCAATATCAAAATGCAGTTTGCTATATTGCCAATAAATGCTCATTAATTACATTATCTTTTAAAATTATTAAGCCATTCACACGGCACTGTCTGGATTTCGACATGTTCGAGAAATCTAAACAATGAACACAAAAAAAAGAAAAAAAAATCCCAGAAAATTTTTTTTTTTGAGAGGATGTGTACATTTCATTTCAAACAAAATAAAATAGTAATTGATAATTCTTTCTTTGATCAAGCATGGAGATCAATATAGCATCTGTGGAAAGAAGATATATGCATGATAACAAAAGTAATTTTTTACTTGGCTCTAAAAAAACTTACCAGTCAGGAATGTCTGATAAATCGTACATCGCTGAAAATTTTAATAATTTAATGAACATTTGTTTATTTGCTATTCTAATATAATCTTTTTACACCTTTCAATCTTACACATGAAATAAAGGAATAATCAAAGGAATAAAGGAATAAACAAGCAAAAATACCAATCAGAAATAAATCAACTATTACGCTGACCATTTTTCATTCTGAAACACTACACTTTTCACCTACAGAAATCACTTTTTTGCGATATCTTTGACTATTAAACTGATACCTGCAATATTTAAAACAGGATTCCGAGCAATGCATACTTTATAGAAGTCCTGAAATTCAAAAACTTAATAACTCTAGCGAGAAAAATAAAAACAATATTTCGACAACATAATCGTTACAGCTGAAAATAGAACCGGAAAGACCAAAACTGGACAGTGAAAATTACGGGAAATTGCCCAATCAGATGGCTGACAATGAAACCACCATGTGAACCACCGTATACTGCGACTCGGGAACGATCTAACCTTGATTCTATGTCCAACACTGTTTGAACAGCAAACTGAAATAGTCTAAAATAAAAATGTACCAATAGAGGAGTGAAAAGAGGAAAAACTTAATATAAAACTTCGCAAATGTCATATTAATGAAAATCTACAAAAAAGTAATAACAGTCATTGACAAAAATCAACTTAAAAATTTGTAAGTCGCACTGAAGCATTATATTAATGTTATTCTCGAAAACAGCTTGACTTACATGAACATCCTTAACGTCCAAATCACCGCAATTACCAAGCAATGAATTCACAAAATCGTTACCAAATCCAAGTGATCCATGATAATTTACAAAAAGCAACGCATAACCGGAGTTCAACAACAGAAGAAGCTCACGAGTCGGCCAACTCAAATACTGACAAACATCAACACAAAAGATGTATATTTCTATTTTTCTTGTCATCTCCAATTTAATTTCTGAATTTTTTCATTGCAAATATACAAAATCGAAGCAGAGATATGATTACATGCTAGCTTTGGAGAAGAAACAATAATAATATAAATAATGGAATAAGGCACCAAGCAACTGTAACACCATGTGGTCCACCGTGAGGTACCACAACTAGTGGAACAATATCAGTTTCATTTGGAATATAGAGTAGGCCTTCATATGCACCTTGAACTGGAAAATGAAAAAAATATAATTTTCTTGAAATATGATGAATGGAAATAATGAAACTTTAATGATAGGAAAAAAGAGTAATTATCAGTTATATCATTATTTGTCCCACCAGTATATTGCATATGCAAAATTATCTCCAATTACAAAATGCATTTTTGCAACCTTTTCACACTACCTCCTCTATCGAAATCCACTAACTGCCATGAAAAACCAAGTAATTTCAAACGAACTTCAGCAGCTGAGCTATTATCAAGTTTGGTCCATATAATCTGTAACATTGTAGGTGATTCACACACAAATAGGAATCAGTTGATTTTTCACATGTAATTAAACGACAGCACGTTGTTCAGCAAAAGTATAACATTCAACATCTCTATCATGCCTCATAACTTTGAAATTTTGAGTAGTGAAACTGCAAAATTTTGGAATAATCGCATAATTTCTCGCGCAAATTAACAACATTTCTCTTTAAGGACACATTTTATTTACTTCAGCAAAAATCAAATACAAGTAAAAAAAAACTACCATTTCTCCCGAATCAATTTTTGGAATATGACCAACAAGGATAGTTGGGGGACGATTTGGAGAGCTGCAAACCGCTACCACGCAATCCTCATTTACATCAAGCACTGTCCAACTTCCATGGAAGGTACCTAAAGTATACTATGAAAAATATATACATCACATTAAAAAATGTCTTATAACGAAGACTAACACATTTTACAATCATTGTAACTCAACATGTTGATAAATGTAATTACAATCATCAATCATTGTAACTCAACATGTTGATAAATGTAATCAAGTTAAAACGATAATTATTAAAACTAGAGTATGAATGAATAAAACAAGCAACTGAAAGAGCATTTTGCTGTTGTCTTTAGCTATTCACTCATCTCTACGCTAAAGAATAACTAAAAAGAAATAAATTCTAAGTAAGCAAACTGTACATACCGTTATTCGTAACTTTCTCTAACTTTCTTGTTTCTGTATTTATAGTTATAATTTCCTGAAAGTCGACATATTGATGGTTCTAGAAGAAAGCTTGATATACTTGAAAGCTTTCACGTTTTATTAATTCTAAAAAAGGGAACTCACTCTTTTAGAACCCCATACACTTGAAACAAATATTCGTTTACTATCACTGGACCACGGCCTCTCGGCTAACTGTACAGCGTAAAGTCCAGGAAACTGCTGACGATCTAATAAAAGACTCACAATAATGTATAAAATAGAAAAAAGTAAAAAAAAAATTCATAATTTTAGCTTCTTTAATAATTTTGTCTCACTCATGACAAACAGTCAACTCGAAAAACGATTTAATGCACACTATTTGCCTGACACTTTTTTACAACAAAATACCAAAAACAGTACCGGTTACTGCATTGACGATGGGAACTAGTAATTGTTGTTCAGTTTTATTCCAATTTATCTAAAAAAAATCTAAGTGTCCGAAAAAATTTAATATCTTCTTGCAAAAACCTAATTGCAGAATAATATTAGCACATCCTAAGTCGTTCAAAAAATGCAAGAACGTTTCATAATACTGGATCAAACAAAACACAGATATGATTGTAGTACATTACAATTAGCAATAATGAACACTAAACTGTTCTTTAAATTTTTTGAAACATAGAAACCGAGATTTCAGACCAAACTACTCAAATATTTTCAAAAAACCTGTGAATGTTTTCACTGGAATTTCTATACGTTTTCCGAGAACTCAAGACTAAAGTTATCGTTCTTCTGCCAATATAATTTCCAATGGAATGAGGGACAAACTCATAAGAAATCAGTTAATATGCAAAACAATTTTACAATAATTAGAACTCACCAACTGACAGGAAACTGAAGCATAATGAGGTCCTCCAGGTTGACGTTGAAAATAAATCAGCTTAGATTTATCTGGAGAAAATGATAATCCTTCGATTGAGACATTTTTATCACTTAATGGAGTTAATTTTGCTGAACTCAGCTCGTAATAGAATAATGTTCCTCTGAAAATTAATCAATATAAAATAAAGTTTGGAAGCTATTACCTGGAACTGAACAATTATATGGACAAACAAACCCTCTGTTGTTGCAATATATCTTTCCCAATTTGACAGGAACATTATGAATCCCAAAGAACACAATTCCTTCATCGTTTGGACTCCAGACACACTGCAATTTTGAAACATAAAAAGTGATCTATATAAACAATAGAAATAATAATAGCTACTTCAAAGTGGAAAGTTTAAACTGAAATTTCAAAATTACTTAGAGAATTAAGTCTGTGACTCAAAAACTAGTTTTTGTTGTTACAATCAGTCTTGAGTTATAATCTGAAACAAAACGAAGAACGTCACTATTGACGCT